GTATGCAAATTTAACGCGAAGGAAGGAAATGTAAAACCTCCAGCATGCTCGCAACACCCTATGCCTGCAGCCTTGGCGAGTATCGAAAAGCGCTTAATGCTAGCTGGGACACACATAAGAAGGATGTCTTTCCAGCTTACTTTTTATTGTCTCTTACTTTTTTCACTTTCTTCAACGTGAAACAGAGTTGAATGATGCTTAATGTCTACTATTTAAGAACTGCAATAGTAATCCTTCTAATGATTCTCGAATTAAAAAGAAGCAATTTTGAGGGCTCGGTATGCGACTTATCTATTAAGAGTTACACAACCCCTCCTCACAGATTTGGTTTTGATGTAATACATCCCCCTATTCAAAAGCGATTAAGGTCTGCTCCATTTTTTTAATGGAGTTCATCAATCAAAAACTTCTACGTGGAGTGATATTCCTTTATTGCCCAATCATCACACTTACATTCTTTTATAAAATTACACTATAACGCAAATCTCTTATGCATCGAATATCATAGCCTGCTGATTCAGGCTGCTCAATTCCTCCCAGTAGCAAGTAGTCGTGGAAGAAAGCGATGTGGACGGAGGGATTGGTGCGAATTTGTAACAAGTGCAACTGCATTTGCTGCGTTAATTCCACCATTGATTTACCTCCCACCATAACATTAGTCTTGCATACACAAGATTACATTGCAATTATATTCATTTAAACTTTAACAAACATTGGACCCATTAAAATGGTCACAACATGAGGTGGAATGAGGCTGCCTTGTTACCGTTGGAAAGGTTGAATAAATGGAGTAATATCAGCCTGATTTCGAAATATTTACAAGCAATAACAGTTTTTATAAGCAATGTGTCTGTATGGAGTCATAGATGATGGCGTTGAAGTTTCGTTGAAGTTTCTTTAAATTGTCATAGAATCACCTACAAAAATATTTTTTTGTCATCAGTTAGAAAGTGAGGGTTGTGGAAAATTCACTAGACAGACATTTTAGCTATAGGCAGAAGGTATTTAGGACCATTTCAAGTCTTATCCACAAAGCATACTAGAGCCTTGAAGGGGCTTTCAGGGAAGACAACCTGTCAGACACGAGGATGTTGCCTCACTTAACCCATCTTGTGCCCCTAATCAGAGCATAGATTTCACGTACCTATTCTCGGTCCACGTGATCACATTTGAAGAGCATCATCTGGACATCACAACGCATTGCAGTCAAGTTGTGAGACGATGACAAGCGCTGTTTGTGTGAGGGACAGCTAAGAGAAATTTGCGTAAATACAGGTGCTGTGGATTGAAAAACAGTAAAAATTCTAGGAAGCTAAAAGGATGAGGGGCTGGAGTGCGGTGGAGGTCATGAATTTACTTTCATCGCTTTTCCTTCTACTGAGTGTAAGCTGCTGAGCGATGGAACGATCATGGGCATTCAATAAAGGGTCGGAGTAGTCTTGAGATATGCTATTGATATTTCCAAGTCGGCTCAAAATGAAACAAATTAAACCTCCTTCTTGTTTACCTGGGGCAAGTCGGAATGAAATCAAGCCATTCGGAGGATATAGAACATTAAGATTCACCCAATTTGAAAGGAATAACTTAGGGGTTCCCGATATAGAAGCGATGTATTTGATCGCCTCTTGTGATCGTTGTAGAGCGGCACTATAGGCAACAATTAATGCACTTTTGCCTCATCGGAGTTATACCAAGGTTGCCTAGGAGTTGGTTTTGGTGGCGCAGAGCTTCTCCACCATAGTAGGTGGACGAACTTCGTATCTTAAATAAGCAATTTTCCATTTAGCCGCCATGGTTATATTTGAGCTGCAGACTTTTTAAGTATTTCAGTGCCACTCGAAAACCGAGGCACCAATTCCATTGATAGCATTAGAGTTCAACATCGCATTCGAAAACAAGGCCAAATAACCATGTCTCTGGCGCCGAACCATAATTTTTTAGATAAATAAACCTACACATTGGTAGAACCACAGAAGTGATAAACATGGGATGTTGTTGGTCATACCGCTACAACCTGCGACTTTGTTTAACCCAACTTGTTTCCTCTTTATAATCTACCGATCTCTTTTTCCGGAGGTCTGCTTAGTTACCCTGAAGCAATGCGAGCTGACTCAAAACAACTAGGTCGGTGGCTACTGTCATTCCTGTACCACAGACGCTATCCACACTGATTTTGAATGGGAAAGTGCTAAAAGTTACTAATGCAGTGTATGTCCAGTGTGTCTACTTGATCCATGAGAATGAAGCCAAGGTAAAGGAGAGAAGTAGAGAACCTATCACTTTGGCGGCAGCCCTGATGGAACCACTACTCGGCAAGAATAACATGAACTTTACAATTTGGCTTAAAATACCTGATTTAACCGCCAGTTCAACTTCTAACATTTTAGGACACTTCTGACTCTACTGACCCTGATTCATTACCTCCACTTACCCACCTTAGAGGCCACTTTAACCTGAACAACACGTTGGATGAATGCTGTACTACCTCAAACTAACTCGGCATTGACTAGAAGGAAGACGCTTGCAAAAACCATATTTCTTGTAACTTTGGAGGCATTGTCCAAGAGACAGTATTATTGCATTTTCCTTAACATACAGAAGTGTCCAGGCGACATAATTTTGCTCATAAGTATTCGGGACTAATGGCTTTTGTGCTCTACATTAGTCATTTGTGCATCTTTTACTCCATTAAGTTAATTCATGTACTCCGGTGGAAACAGGACGTTAAACATCACATTTTTTATCAGAATTGCAACGCACCACTGGATTAGAAGCACTTTACTTGACTATTAGGACCAAGTTGATGTGTTGCTTAATTCATTTGACTAGTACACCTCATCCATTTGTCAAGCAGTAGCGTGGCTGTATAGAACTGAATTATTCCCTGACCCACTCTAATTGGTTATGTGGGGACCCGTGTGCTGTGGTACGAGTGGTTTGTTGGAAGGGTGACCACGACCACACATGATGCATGTTTGCTGCGAGGTGACGGAAGTGGGAGTGCATTCTGGGGACAAGATGGAACATTTGTAAACCCCTACTAGTTCTCCCTCCCGATTGACGTAAGTCTAACTACACACAAATATTTGCACAAGAAAAACACAGTCCTGTTTGTAAAGATCTGAGTTATTTCGCAATGGAAATATGTTACATTAGAAGGAAATTTTTTACACTAATGTATTAAAAACTCTTAGAATTGGGTCTGGAAAGTTTGGAAAATCATGAGGAAAAGACGTATCATTTACTTTGCATAAATACATGGGCAGTCCTCAGTATCAAGCATTTGGCAACTTAAGATTTTAGTTTAAATTGCTTTGGGGAGGTCAAGCATCTCAGGCGTGCATCATATTTTCGCTTTCCTCTGCAATTTCCTGGTTCTTTATTATCAATAATGAGGCTGTTTTATAGATCAAA